AATTCTAGTAAGAAGACCAGACTTAATGGTCTGACTGAGACTGGAGGAACCCTGGAAAGCACGGTTCCTGGATTCTCTATTAGCCCAGAACTCAAACAATTTCCGAGGCCAACTCATCAGACAGGGATTGGACTGGACTGTGGGACATAAAGTGATACTCGTGAGGAGTGTGCCTTTTAGCTCAAGTAGATACAAGACACTAAACAGGCAGCTTCTGTCCGGAGGTAACATGGAAAGGCAGAGAGGGTTAGGAGCTGGTTGAGAAGACATGGGGAATCAGGGGTGGAAAGGAGGAGTGTGCTGTCACAGTATGGGGAGAGCAATTAGGATCACATAACAATGTATGCATAAATTTTTGTACGGGAGAATAACTTGAAATGTAAACTTCATTTAAACTACAGCAATTAAAAAAAAAAAAGTCATGTGGTTGGGATAGGAGGAGATGGGGAAGGGGAGAGACAGACCTGGGCCGTGTGAAAACATGCTGAGCTTCTGTGTTTGTCACAGATTCTCCTTCCCTCTGAGCCATCAACGATCGATGCTTCGAATTTTCAAATGGACAGGAAGACCCGGTTCATCATCCATGGTTTCATAGACAAGAGAGACGAGAGCTGGCTGCTGGACATGTGCAAGATGGGGCCCCTCTAATCCCTGCCTCCTGCCCTGGTGGTGTTGCCACTGCCTCCTGCTAATGCCTCCCTCACTTTAAGCAACCCCAATAAATGAGCTCAAAGACAGCAAGCAACTCCACCCATAAAACCTGTTGCGGTCAAGTCGATTCTGACTCATAGCGACCCTACAGGACAGAGTAGAACTGCCCTATAGGGTTTCCAAGGAGTGGCCGGTGGATTCAAATTGCCAGCTTTTTGGTTAGCAGCCGAGCTCTTAACCACTGGGCTACCAGGGCTCCAACGCCTCCACACAGGTACTTGAAGAGAGTCTTTATATATTAGGTACACTTGTGTAATTAAAATGCCTCTGTTCACACAAAAACAGAAATTCCATACCACGTTTCTGGAATACATCAGTTGTCTGAAGCAATGATATTTGCTGGGTGAGCAAACTCTTCCACTCTATCATTTCTGGGTAAATCAAAGCTAAGTGTTTTCAGCTCCCGTTTTCAGTGAGATTGCTTGTATTCCTGTAAATGAGGGATTGTGTTCTTTGTGCTCCAATCTGTCCCACCTCCCTGAGAGTCAAGCTGTGTTGCTATGGCTATTTGAGATGTGGAGAACTGAAACTGACTGGCTGACTAAGCCAATAGAACAGAAGGTGCCAGAATTATGAAACAACCTAGTACCTATTGGTCGGAAGGACAGACAACCGAAGAATACACACACACACACACACACGTAGGCGTACACACATACACTCACACTATACCATCATCCTTTCTTTTATGCTTACACTGATCCAATATATGTTTTAGCCACCAGAGTTTACCCCAGCACATGTTAATAACCCACTAGATGTCATTGATGTCGACAGGAAAACGTATAAATCTAGAAAGTTAATTTTGCCTTTGGCTTTGGTTTTTTTAGACATTTAACTTTGGATACCTGTTTTGCCCCATCACTGATAAGTGCCTTATCTACACAGGTTTATACCCAAGGATCTTCAGGTTTGTAAGCATATATGGAAGAGAGCTCTCAGGACTGCTTTAAAAAAAAATCCTGAGAAAACAACAGTCAGTATCCCTGTGTCTGTGATCACACTGTTAGTATCATACAGGTAGAAAGATTGCCAGTGGATTTGAGCATTTATAGCACCATTTAAACTAAGCTGGTCTTAAGTGCTGCCTGGCAGAACTTCTAAGCATATATCAGAGCCCTGGATATCCAGGAAGACGTTTTTCTTCCAGAATCCTTCCTACTCTTTTAAGTGGGCACAATTATATTTTTCAAATATCTGCAGTGTGAGTTTCTTCCATGGAACACCAGCTTGTCCTGATCACAAAATGGTGGCACTTTCCCTGCCTCTTCACCCCCTCCCCACACCCTGTTGTTGTCGTCAAGTCAATTTCAACTCCTAGGGACCCCATGTGACAGAGAAAAACTGCCCCACCGAGTTTTCTAAGCTGTAATCTTTACAGGAGCAGATCGCCAGGTCTTTCTCCCTAGGAGCCTCTGGGTAGGTCCATACCACCCACCTTTCAATTAACAGCCCAGTTCTTAAGTGCTGGGGCTCCTTACACACACACACACACATACACGCTCAAAGGAAAAAAAAAAAGCCACTGCCATTCGGTCGATTCGGACTGATTAGCAACCCTACAGGACAGAGCAGAGCTACTCCGTAGGGTTCCAAGGCTGTAATCTTTATGGAAGCAGACTCACATCTTTCCCCTGACCTTTCAGTTAGCAGCCGAGAGCTTAACCACTGAGCCGCCAGAGCGCCTTTCCACACACCTTCAAACCTAGTAAATGCCCAGCTGACAGGAGTGAGTCCCGGCCCAGAAACTGGCAGCTTTACCATGAGACCGAAAGGACCCCTTGTGATCAAACCTTCAACGGCCATTTAGACACTGGCCACCAGAGATTGCATTTAAAGCTTTTCCTTTCCAAATTAGGACAAAGTGATGCAATTGTTTTGGTTGTGGTTTTTTTTTTAAATCAACCTTATCAAATTCAGTTGAAAATCAGGGCAAACGCGGCCAGCCTTTAATTAATCTGCAAACTAGAGAGGGAATCAATACCTGGCTTGTAGCATTCGCTACAATTCCAAAGTGACAACAGGATTGGCTTACAAAGTCTAGCTTATCTCCACAGCCCTGTGAGGAGAACAGGGACAAATGGACTGTCTGAGGACTGTCAGCACCATTTCTGACCCTGGTTGGATGTCATTTCATGTGCCCCGATGATAACACCCTGGTGTCTCACAACCCAGAACATGTTTCAGGTGGAGGAGGTGAAGTGCATCTGCGTGGACTGGAGGAGGTGCTCCCAAACCAGCTTCACACAGGAGGCCAACAAGGTGCAGGTGGTGGGCACCCAGGTGGCCCAGATGCTCAGCGTTCTCTTGATGAGTCAGGTGCCGGTTCGCAGGTACCATCAGGGTGGAAGCAGTGCCCACTGGTGTCCACTGGTTGGCGATGCAGCTGGGAGTTGCATATTTTTGAAGAAGAAATAGAAATAACAGACATTTCTCTCAGCTCTTACTTCTAAATCTCTGACATGTGTCTTGATAACGACATACCTGTGGAAGAAAAAATAATGATAACTAACATTTAGGAGGTGGGGGCTTCTAGTATCACCTTCAATCTACGGAGAAGATTGAGGCCCAGAGAGGTTAGGTAGCTGGTTCAAAAATTAAAAAGCGGGTGAGTAGAAGAGCCGTCATTTGACCCCGGCTGTTTAGCGCCAGGGTATATGGTCTCACCCAAAATCCCAGGGGGGCTCTGTTTGCCAAAGGGAGACATAGGTGGTATACACCAACTACCTTGGCACATTGGGACATTTCTTCTGCCACAATCATGTCAATTGTTTCTTCCTACCCCGATCTTTTAGTTAATTCTTGATGACTATTTTTTAAATCAGGTAAAGGTCCCAGCCATTTCTGTCTTACAGTCAAAGGGTTTACAAAAGACCCAGCTAGTTCTAACTACTTCTGGTCAATAAACCATCACCCCTACAGACAATTAAAACCCAACGTGCTTGTCCCCGGGGTCACTGAAGACCATAGATATTCAAGGACACAAAATCATATGTGATTTCTAATTTTGCCACTGAATGAAATACATTTGGGTAAACACCTCTGAGGCCACTATATGAAATTCCTCATGGCTCTGTGCCGTTTGTTTATTCAGCTAATATTTTTGGAGCTGAGCTAGGAGGTAAAGAGGAGGGTTGAGGTCCCAGCCCTTAAGGAGCTTGCAGCAAAGACTTGCAAGGGAAATACAGTGTGATCATGGGTCTGACGGGGGCAGCGCGGGGCACTAGGGGAGCACATGGGGGGACAGCTAATGGAGACTGCGGTGGGGCAGGGGCTTAAACAGGTCTTCCCAGAGAAGGAGACTTCCAAGTTGACAGGAACACTGGCTGTGTCAGTTTAGCTGAGCAAGAGGTTGGAGGGATGGACAACAGTGGAAAACCCCAGAAGTGCGAGAATATGACTTTTTGAAGGACCGAAAGTTCAGCAAAGTAATGGCTACAGAAGAGTCTAGAAAACTAGGTGCTGGAACAGCAGGGGCGTATCTAAGGTATGGCAGGTATGGCACGTGGCCTGGGTGCCACTGGGGGGTGGGTGTCACCAATGAGCAGTTTCTATTGGCCATCGCACAGTTCCCATTGCCAGCTGTGAGAGATCATTCCGCAATTTAGAACTGATTGCCAGAGGCGCTATTTTTCCGTACACATGCTCGCTGTCAGCAAGGCCCTGAGGCCGTTGTACTGAACTTAGGCCTGATTCTGAGGGCAATGGGAGCTGTGGAAGGTTTGCAGCAGAAGGGTAACACTGTCAGGTTTGCATTTTAAAAAAATCACCAGGGCGGCACAAAAATGTCCTGAAAATGCAATTTTCCCTTTCCAGACAAACTACAGCTACTCACCTTCCAACATGTGCACCTCATTGGCCACAGCCTGGGAGCTCATGTGGCTGGTGAGGCAGGCAGTGGGACTCCAGGCCTGGACAGGATTACAGATAAGGCCTGAGGGGCAGCAGCCCCAGGTTTTGTCCTCGGTAACCCCAGAGTGCAGCGATCACATGGTAGCCCAGCTTGAAGCTGCCCTGAAGGAGACCATCCCCTCAGCTGTGGCAGAACTGGATAGAGGCTGCCCAGAACACTTTAGGAAGCTCCCAGGAAGCCCACAGTCTGTCTTCACGGCGAGGGGGCAGGTGGTGGCTTTGGTCCCCATTTGCTTCTTCTGTCTCTACCCTGTCCCTCCTCTTTAAGTCCAAGTTTTCCTAGTGCTATGGGCCACCCAGCACAACGAGGCACCCAGGAGTGAGTTTTCAGGAAAATGCAGAGCAAGGCTGGTATGAACATGGGCAAAACATAATTGAGGAAGGGCTGTATTGTCCCACATCATTCCTTTTCCCCCTTCTCTGTGAAATCAAGGGCAGAGTAAAATATAAAAATTGTTTCTCGATGCCTCTGCTGGTAGAAGAAACCCAGCCACCATCACAGCCAACAGTATTCTTTTAACCCAAACAAAGCTTTTAATTATAACAACAACAACAAAATCCAAACATATGTATATAATAAGATTATTATTATAGTAACCATATATTAGCCAGATTCAGATGGGCAACAAGGGATACTGGCTGAAAGCAGAGAATACCAGAAAGATATTTACCTGTGTTTTGTTGACTATGCAAAGGCATTCACCTGTGTGGATCATAACAAACTATGGATAACATTGTGAAGAATGGGAATTCCAGAACACTTAATTGTGCTCGTGACGATCCTGTACATAGACCAAGAGGTAGTAGTTTGAACAGAACAAGGGGATACTGTGTGGTCTAAAAGCAGGAAAGGCATGCATCAGGGTTGTATCCCTTCACCATACTTATTCAATCTGTATGCTAAGCAAATAATCTGAGAAGCTAGACTATATGAAGAAGAATGGGGCATCAGGATTGGAGGAAGACTCATTAGCAACCTGCAATATGCAGATGACATAACCTTGCTTGAAAGGCTTACTAATGAAGATCAAAGACAAAAATCCTCACAAGTGGACCAATAAACAACATCCTGATAAACAGAGAAAGTATTGAGGTTGCCAAGAATTCATTTTACTTGGATCCCCAATTAACACCCATGGAAGCAGCAGTCAAGAAATCAAACATCCCCATATTCAACACCCAGGGCCAAGGCACTACATAACACTAGGGTATGGTACCCCCTTGAGTTGGGCAGTACATGGCCTGGGCACCTTGGTCCTGCTGACACCTCCAGCCAGGCCCATTGTTCTCAGCTTCGTCCATCTCTTTCAAGGTTGGGTCCCATAGAAGCAAGTTTCCGGGGTACTCCCGAAGAGGTTCGACTCGATCCCTCTGACGCTGTCTTTGTAGACGTGATTCACACAGATGCAGCTCACCTGATCCCGTTCTTGGGTGAGCCCCCCACCTCTCCATCCCACCTCCCACCCCATGCTCTGGCTGTGAGCCTGTGCGTTTGTGTTTTAACTATGAGACCCTGGATTACAATCAGCTCATTGCTGTTCCAAACGTTTCAGGTTTTGGAACGAACCAGCTGGTAGGCCACACTGACTTTTTCCCCCAAGGAGGGGAGGAGATGCCAGAATATGAGAAAGCCCTGTCACAGATCATAGATCTAGATGGCATCTGGACAGGTAAACCCACAGCAAGGGGCGTCGCTTCCCTGGGTGAGCAGTGTCCTTTCCACTGCAAATCTCACTTCTCTTTAAAAATGTGCAATTCCCTCTTCTGGGTTTTATTTCTGAAAAATATAGACACATATCATTTGTTATGTCGTAGTTCTACTGATTTTATACTTTCTCAAAATATTATTTTGGGTGTTGTAGAGTGTACAATTAACAAAGAATTACAAAATTGTTGCTTAAAGGTATACCTCCAACAATTAATTGGTAGCTACCAGTTACCTAATTTAAAAAATTAAATTTAAAAAAAATTGCCATTGAGTTGATTCTGACTCATAGCGACCCCATGTGTTTCAGAGCAGAACTGCTCCACAGGGTTTTCAAGGCTATGACCTTTTAGAAGCAGATCGCCAGGCCTGCCTTCTGAGGCGCCTCTGGTTGGGTTCAAACCACCAACCTATTGTCTAGTAATCAAGTGCTTAACCATTTGTGCCAACATTTCTGAAAATATGGTCTCACTGTGGAACCATCCCCCTCGGAGAGAGTGGCAGAGAAGCTGCCAGAGCCCCTTGACTTCCTTGGCTGACTTCCTGATTTGTGTCCCCAGGAACCCAGGACTTTGTGGCTTGCAATCACTTAAGAAGCTACAAGTACTACTCAGAGAGCATCCTCAACCCCAATGGGTTTGCTGTGTACCCCTGTGCTTTCTGTAAGACCTTTACCTCTATAAGCCCTTGTCTTGCCTTGTGCAGTGGGCACTGTCCCACTGCAAGGCTGTTGTCCTCCCATGTTTGGGGTTTGCACTATCCTCCCATGAGTTTTTCTTGACCATCTCCTACATGCCCATTAATTCCCCTCAGAGCTCATGGTTCTGTACCTGTTGCCATCAATTCTGGCTCATAGAGACCTTATAGGACAGAGTAGAGCTGCCCCATAAGGTTTCCAAGGCTGTAATTTTTACGGAAGCCAACTGCCACATCTTTCTTTCACGGAGCTGCTGGTGGGTTCGAACCACCAATCTTTTGATTAGCAGCCGAACAGGGTGGTCATTGTGGTAACCGGGCACCATCTAGTTCTTCTGGTCTCAGGCTAATGAAGTCTCTGGTTTATGTGGCCCTGTCTCTTAGGCTAATATTTTGCCTGTGTCTTTGGTGCTCTTCATTCTCCTTTGCCCCAGGTAGGCTGGGACCAATTGAACTATCTTAGATGGCCACTCGCTAGCTTTTAAAACCCCAGATGCCTAATTGGAGACTTTTGCTAATTTTTTTTCCTTTTATTATAAACCCAAGCATTCAGTTCTTTCTCAACAGATCTTTTTTTTATTTTTAAATAAATCTAACATTACCAAGATATCATGTTTTGTAATTAGTAAAGTAATACATGTTTGTTGTATTAAACTAAGTGGCTAACTTGTTACTGTACAAATAATTTTTCCAAAAAAAATAAAGATGAAAGGGTTATATATTTTTCTATGTAAAGTATTAAGGAGAAATTAACATGTGTTTGAATTTCAAACATGAGTTTGAAAAAAAACATTTAAATAGTAGTTGGAGGCTGCCAGCATATACCTGGCCTTTCCATTTCTCCATTCTTTATTTGGGAATTAATTCGGAAAAATAATCCTGTTAATCTAGAGTAGAAAAAAGTGGCATGGCCTTGTATGCTCATTTGACCTTGTATGGTCATTTGGCCTTGGATGCTTATTTGACCTTGTATGCTCATTTGACCTTGTTTCTATGAACAGGAATGTTTCTATTTCTCTATTTCAAGGGGAATTATGATGCCAAGCTCTACCCATTCCTATGAGTTTGATGCAAAGCTCTATGTCGGAACAATTGAGAAAGTCAAGTTTCTCTGGCATAACAATGTGGTAAATGCAACCTTCCGCAAAGTGGGTGCAGCCAAGATCACGGTGCAAAAGGGAGAAGAGAAGACAGTGTATGTATATTTGCTGGTTTGTATCTCAGGATGTTTGTAGCTTCATTCTTGTAATGAAAACTCACCCCAGAAAGGCAGTTATAGTTAAGGCAGAAAAGCCAAGAAAATCTTTTCCTCTTCAGGCAAGCAAGCTGCTGACAGACAGCATCAAACATTTCTGTCGGGGACACTTGACTGGTGTCCTCAGCATGGGCTGTGGGGGATTTGGAGATATGACCCTGCCTTCAAGGAAAAATACAACAGAGATTGATACATGACATAGTGTCTGAAGATACAAGGTTTTAAGTATGGGCTAGAGAGTGGCTGCAGTTGGAAGAAGAGAAGACCAGAGAAATTTCAAGACAATAGAAGGAAAAAGAAATCAGTTTTAGTAAATGATATAAATTTGAGGCAAGGGAAGAGAGCTAGGTGGCAGTGCTTGTGGGCCCTCAGCCTGTGGGCCCCTTGCCTCATTTTCTGCAGCTGGGGCCCCTGAGCAGGAGGGAAGGGCCAGCTGGAGGGAAAGACATGGGATAGGGATAGTCACCTGAGAGGGGCAGGGCACTGTCTCCCAAAGCTGAAATACTCCCCTGCAGCCCTCCTCGGACCCCAGTTCTGGCCTGCAGGTCAGTCTTGGTGGGGGCTTCTGGGAACAGCAGCCTGGGCTGTCAGCTACTGATGGTCTCGGGATTTGGGGGTTAGGTTGGGCCAGAGCTGCCCTGAGCTCAGGCCCCACGGAATGTCATTCCCCAGGTAGGGAGGGTGGAATGGCAGAGTGGAGCTGAGGCTGAATTTGCAGCCCTCTCCTGTCTGGCTGGATGACCCCTTTAAGAGCCTCCCTATCCGAGTCAGAGAGGATAGAGTCTTGCCCAGCCAGGCAGTCGATGGACAACGTCGCCTCTCAATTAAAGTACACAGAAGCCAGGCCAGGCCAGTCGGGGGCCATTGCATGGCCAAGGGCACTCTGCTATGTCCCCATTGGAATACCAAAATCAAAATCAAACCAGTTGCCCTCAAGTCAGTTCTGCTCATGGCAACCCCGTGTGTGTCAGAGTAGAACTGTGTTCCATAAGGCTTTCTTGGTTGTAATCTTTATAGAAGAAGATCACCAGGCCTTTTCTCCTGGGCGCTGCTGGTGGGTTGAAACCACCACCTTTTCGGTTAGTAGCTGAGTGCAAACCATTTGCGTCACTCCGGGACCTCATTGGTGGACACTCTTGTCTAAAGTTAGTTCCTCAGGGCCCCGCTAGGAAGTGGACCCGAGGCCTGGATCCTGGGGACTGTGTGGTTTAAAGTGTGTCAGGAGAAAGAGGAATCCTTGGAATCTTAAAAATGAGAGATGTTCCCAAGCAATGTCGTGTTCACAGGGAGGTTTGAAGAAGGAAAACAAATACGAGACCAAATCAGCCAGGAGGCTGCACCTTCCAGGTTTTGTGAGCAAAGGCCGTGCTTTCTGCACTTTCTAGAAATGGAACAGAACGTACTTGAGGCCACCCCGATGTGCTGGGTGCACCAGCTGCCACCCGAATCCCCCACTGGCGTGAGTACAGCTTCCTTCACGCGGACTCAAGAAAATCTCTTTTAAGAGAACCTGATCTTAGACATCAGATTTTTCAAATACAGGAAAATCAAAATCACTCGAACTAGTTTGGGAAGTTAAAAAAAAAAACTGAGTTAGTCAAGTTATTTAAATATTTGGGGGAAACAGCCAGTAATTGATATTTTATAATAATAATAATTGTTGGAGGACCAAAGGAAATCAAGATTTTGGACCAACCTCTGGTCTCAGCTTCTCCTTGGATTTTTTGCCACCTCACTGGGGCTTCAAGCCCTGTCAAGTTACCTGCTGACTAGAATTCCCTCCAATGAGGTGGTGTCAAGAGAGAAATGTGATCCCGCTCCCTCTTCTTCTTCCCTCCTTCCTCTCTGATTTTATTAAGTACCTAGTGCACGCCTGGCAAGCAGTAGGGGATGCAAAGAGACAGCCTGCTCTTAATGAGTTTACAGTTTAGCTGGTGGGGAACATTCCACTTATGGTTTCACCGGAAAGGTCAGATAGCAGAACAAAGAGCTCAAGTTGACTCAACAGCAGGCAACTGGTCATATTGTTCAAACGAGTCCCAAGAGTGAATGAGCAAAGAGTGAGTCCAACGGCAAACCAATGCACTGTTATTTATTGAGGGCCTGCTGTGTGCTTCTGGAGAATGAAAAGAAGCAGGAGGTCACTGCCCTCAAGGAGCCCACAATCTGGTGAAACACAGGACCAGAGGCAGGGGCCGCTCCTTAACCAGTTGCACCCTCAGGTTGGAAGCCAGGTGGCAATCAGATCTCCAGAACCTGGTTGAAGCCACCATCCGGTGCTGCCCTCGTTCCTTTTGAATTACAAATCATCAATTACCTTTGCCTAACTAACTGAAGAATCTGATCACCACAGCTTTCACTAAAGATACCCAACTCTTAAAAAGCATTCACTTTCTCTGCAGGTACAACTTCTGTAGCGAAGGAACTGTGAAAGAAGACATGCTGCTCACTCTCACGCCCTGTTAAACTCGAGGCCCAATGTGCGCCTTGTGTTAACAGCAATCAAATCCATCGATGCATCTATCTACTCACAAATTCTGTCGCTGATGTCAGATGCCACCTATAGGGACATCCGAACATCTAAAAATTTCATAAGCATTTCCACATCCCTGAGTTTCTTGCCATTGACTTCCCACCGAATACCCTCGGGTTCCCAATGTTCTTAGTCACCATGCCCCGTCTTCTCCTTATCTGAGTGGGGGGAGGGGAGTAATAAACAGCAGAACTAGAGTATGAACATTCAAGGGGTCTCAGCAGAGCCATTAGCCTTGCCCCTCATTTTACAGAGAGGGGGAGTTGGCTGTTTAGACTCACAGAGTGACGTAATGTCACGTCAGGACGCAGGGTCAGGTCCCTGATCCCGTTCCAGTGCTCCTCCTCTGGCTCTGGCATCACCTTGAGGGATCATGGAAAGGCCTGCTGTGGCGTGGCCTCTTTGTGGTCATAGATTTTGTGGTGAAGGGACTGCTCGATGTCCCTGGCTCTTGGTAAGGTCTAAGGTGCTCCAGGGCACACAGACTGGGCTGGGCCAATTTGCAGAGTGCCAACAGGGTTCCAACCACCACTCAACCTGGGCCAGGGCTGCATGGAGGCCCTCTCTCCATTATCTACAGGGCAGAGCCCAGGCACTGAGGAGGGAGCCAAAGGGATGGTTTCTGAGAGGAACATGCACGCACAGAGCAGAAGCGAACTTTTCTTCCAGTCAGTCACCTGGGCAGACAGACCCTGAGAAGTGTTCTCCTCACCATGAGCCCAGCCCAGACAGACCCTGACAAGAGTGTTCTCCTCACCATGGGCCCAGCCCAGACAGACCCTGAGAGTGTTCTCCTCACCATGGGCCCAGCCCAGACAGACCCTGAGGAAAATGTTCTCCTCATCATGGGCCCAGCCCAGACAGACCCTGAGGAAAATGTTTGCCTTACCATGGGCCCATCCAGATAGACCCTGAGGAGAGTATTCTTCTCACCACGGGCCCAGCCCAGATAGACCCTGAGGAGAATGTTCACCTTACCATGGACCGAGTCCAGATAGACCCGGAGGAGAGTGTTCTCCTCACCATGGGCCCAGCCCAGACAGACACCGAGGAGAGTGTTCTCCTCACCATGGGGCAACCCAGACAGTCTCTGACAAGAGGGTGGCCCAACCTGCCCCATGATCACCCCCAGGGACTTTGAGGGACCCAGAAATCATCACCTCTTATAGTATCCCTCTTCTTGGACATCAGCCTTCACATTCCATCTTGGCTTCTCTTTCTAACCAGTGGTGGTGTGACATGCTATTATTGAGCCTTCAAGCTTGAGGGTGGGTGGACTCCAGATTGTTCCTTGAAAACAGATGTGAGGATTAAAGGAGTGACTGTGGTGAAGGGCCTCACAGTCAAGGGTACCAGGTGAGTGCTCAGTATGCTGTGGCAATCACGAGGGTGATAAAGACGATGGCAGTAGCAAGGGGACACCAAGCTCCTTATGTGAGGGTACCAAGCAGGAGAAAAGGGAGCTCAGAGCAGAGGCTGGGGCTGCCAAGTGGCCGAATTTTGCCCACCACTGGCCTTGAACCCACAGCCTGTGCAAGGCAGCACCCTGCTGGCAAAGGAGGTCGATGTAATGTAAATTCTGCAAACACTTATATCGAACACTGACTCTGTGCCAATCACTGTGCCAGGCGCTAGGGTGAGAGAAAAGCTCTACCCTCAAGAAGTGCATATAGTAGGCAGATCAGCACTTAAATCAACACTGCCATGCTGCCTCATAGGGGCAAAAATCAAGGTAGGTACCAGGACAGAGAGCCCAGAAGAGAGAAGGAACAAGATGGAAAAGGCTGCACAGCGGCAATGGTTCTAAGCTCCAGCTTGAAGGCAGGTGTCCTACTGAGACTAGAGGCTGGGAGGTGAGCCAGGAGGAGGAGGCCCCTGTAGATATCCAGACAAGTGGTGACAAGGACCACATGATGCCGGTGAATGGGGCCAAGGTATAATGGAGTTTACGTGGCTGGCTGGCCATGGTTGAGAGCCCTTCTCCCTGGTCAAGAGCAGCCTATTTCACCCTGCACCACAGATTACAGATATGGAAGATTACTTGGGAAAAAGATTTTAAAGCAGGGCGGAAACTGAGAAAAGTGTATAGCCAGGGTTTTGGTTATCTAGTGCTGCCATAACAGAAATACCACAAGCGGACGGCTTTAACAAACAGAAGTTTATTCTCTTACAGTCTGGTAGGCTAGAAGCCCAAATTCAGGGCGTCACCTCCAGGGGAAGGCTTTCTCTGATGGCTCTGGAGGAAGGTCCTTGTCATCCATCTTCCCCTGGACTAGAAGCTTCTCTGCGCAGGAACCCTGGGCCCAAGGGACGCTCTCTGTTCCCGGTGCTTCTTTCTCGGTGGTATGAGGTCCCCATATCTGTCTGCTCGCTTCTCTTTTAGATCTCAAAAGAGATTGGCTTAAGACACTAATCTTGTAGATCTCATCAACATAACTGCTGCTAATCCATCTCATTAGCATCATAGTGATGTGATTTACAACACACAGGGAAATCACATCAGATGACAAAATGGTAGACAATCAGACAATACTGGGAATCACAACCTAGCCAAACTGACAGATATTCTGGGGGGACACAATTCAATCCATGACAGCAGGAAAGGAGTATGCCAGTAGGGGAGGCTTCCCAAGGCAGTTGGCCACACCATGAGCACTCAGCTGAGGCACGCCCTGAGCCTCCAGTGAATGGGGCCCAACTCCCAGTGCAGTGGCTGCTGGTCACATGCTCTAGGGCAGGGGAGGCAGCAGGTGGAGACCTGAGTTGGAGTGGGACAGGCCGTCTCCTCCCATGCCCCTTTCCTTCCACCTATGTCCTTTTATCAGCTGTGCAGCTGGAGGAAACTCCCAGGAAGGCAAAGAGCAGCAGGTTCCAAGGTTGCCACCATGGACTTTGGCTACTTATCAGCATAGTTATCAGCATCCACCTCCAGGTGCTGAGGCCCTCCTGACACCGCTGGGAGTCCAAGTTCCGCCCTGTAGGTCCACGCCCCAAACACATGGTCCTAAGGAGACGGGAGTCTGGAGCTGTATGTGACCACTTTGGGGTAGGACTGCACTGTGCACAGGGCCCTGGCCAAATCTGCAGATTTAAGGGATCGCATGGGGCCAGTTTGACTGAGCTTTGGTTTTATTTTGTTTTAAATAAAAAAGTGGTACAGTGTTCAGAATGTACCTGTTGGGGTTTTTGGAGAAATGAAAATATGCCATATTAATGTTCAGTTTATAGGCGCAAATCTCAGATGGACATGCAGTCTAGTTGGAAGCAACAGAAAAGGGCATTGAGCTAGCAGTCAGGATTCTAGTCAAGGCAGGTGACCTTGGGGAAGACATTTCCACTTCTCTGAGCCTCCGCTTTCTCATCTATAAGATGGAGGCAACAGCCCCAGCCCTGTCTTCTTCATATCATTGTCTTAAGGATCTAACAAGCAAATGAACAGTACCACTGTGCTGCCACCTGAGCAAGGCAACCTAAGGCATGTGGCCACAGTCTGGTCCTTGACCCCAAAGCTACCAGAAAGCTGCTGGCATGCAGCTGGGGGTGCCTGGACACGCTAGGCAGCAGTGCTTGTTAATGTCTGCTTTGCGCCCACTCAACCCAGGCCCTGCTTACAAACCAGTAGATGCACAAGGCTGGCCACTGCTCCAGAGGGCATCCAAAGGCTCAAAGGACTAGCCAAGAGGCCAACATCGAGATCCAGGCGTTCTTCATCCTGGCTGCAAACTAGAATCACTTGGGAGCTTAAAAAAGAACGGGACATCCAAAGATTAGACATGTCCATAAAACAAAATGAGACTAAAGGGGCACACCAGCCCAGGGGCAAGGACTAGAAGACAGGAGGGGATAGGAAAGCTTGTAATAGGGAACCCAAGGTCGAGAAGGGAGAGTGCTGACATGTCCTGGGGTTGTTAACCAATATCATAAAACAATAGGCGCACTAACTGTTTAACGAGAAGCTAGTTTGTTCTGTAAATCTTCATCTAAAGTACAATAAAAAAAAAAAAAAAAGAATGGGAAACCCAGGCCCCACCCCAGTAAGTGCTTCAAGTCCTTTCGCTTTCAGCAAGCAAGGTTATGTCATCTGCATATTGCAAGTTGTTAATGAGTCTTCTTCTAATCCTGACGTCACATTTTTCTTCATATGGTTCAGCTTCTAGGATTATTTCCTCCGTGTGCAGATTGAATAAAACCAAACCAAATCTATTGTCGTCGAGTCGATTCTGACTCATAGCGATCCTACAGGACAGAATAGAACTGCCTCATAGGGTTTCCAAGGAGCAGCTGGTGGATTCAAACTGCTGACCTTTTGGTTAGCAGCTGAATACTTAACTAGTGAGCCACAAGGACTCCGCACATTGAATAAATATGGTGAAAGGATACAAACCCTCACGCACACCTTTCCTGCTTTTAAACCACACAGTATACCCTTGTTGTGTTCAAAAGACTGCTGTTTGGTCTATGTACAGGTTCCACATGAGCACAATTAAGTATTCTGGAATTCCCATTCTTCACAATGTTATCGCTAATTTGATATGATCCACACAGTTGAATGCCTTTGCACAGTCAATAAAACACAGGTAAACTTCTTTTTGGTGTTCTCTGCTTTCAGCCAAGATCCATCTGACATTAGCAATGACACCTCTCATTCCACATCATCTTCCGAATCTGGCTTGAATTTCTGGCAGCTTCCTGTTGATGTATCGCTGCAACTGCTTTTGAATGATCTTCAACAAAATTTTACTTGTGTACGATATTGTTCAATAATTTCCACATTCTATTGAATCACCTTTCTTTGGAATGGACACAATCATGGATCTCTGCCAGTCGTTTGGCCAGGTAGCTGTCTTCCAAATTTCTTGGCATAGAAGAGTGAGCACCTCCAGCATTGCATCTGTTTGTTGGAACTTCTCGATTGGTATTCCATCAATTCCTG